GACGCTCTTCCGATCTCCCCAAAACCCCAAAACCCCATGGACTCTAATAAATATATTAAGAAAGCGATTGCAAATAAATTTAAACAATTAATATTTTCTTGGATCTTAAATTTGAATGGCAGACGATGTAGTAGACACAATCGCCCAGTACGATTTGGACGACGACTTCCCTGACTATGCCAATGAGCAAAACAAAGAGCTTAACTAAATCGTAAGTCATGCTTACTAATTACATATAAGAATATGATCTACTATCATAATTACTTATTTTGAGCGATGATTAAACATTCCTATAGGTTCGAGAGAAGGTTAGGCTAGTTGCACAGTTGGGGCTTGAAATTGAGGAACATCAAGAGCGTCTAAAGATCCTCGCAGAGCACTTGAAGTCAGTGCAGATGGAGCTTGTTCACACATAATCACTTGTAGGCATCTCGGTCAAATTTATGTGTAAATTAGGTTGATGCGAAGAATAAGGAAATTGAAACTGAAGAGCATATGAAACAAGTCGCTGAGAGACAGAGTGGTAGACTCCGTAACGAAATTGAAAAACTTGAACAGAGAATCGCTGACTAGCAGGACAGACTGAACAACATCCAGAATATGATCTTCAAAGCTAATGAGAGGATGGATAAGTTTAAACTAGAGATGAACTGGAATCAGGAAGAGTTGGAGCAGTGGGCTCTGGCTGCCAGACAAAAGGAGGAGGATAACCTTACTCTTGAGAAATACAGAAGAGCTGATGAGGCCAAGATCAAGGAACTTACTCTGAACATTGAAAAACTGACTGTTGAAGTTGCAAAGAAAGCCACTGAGTTGGAAAAGGAAGTGACAGAAACTCAAGCTGCTTAAATCGAGCTTGATAAGACTGCAGAGGAGTTCAAGAGACTTCACGCCGAAAGACATCAACTTTACTTATAATGGCAAGACACAGTTGAAAACAGTAGAAAAAGAGATGAGCTGATCAATGAGACTGGTGAGCAATATGGAAGCGCCAAAGATCACCTTGACAAGAAGAAGACTGATCTTGAGGATCATAAAAAGACCCTTGACAGAGAAAAGGAAAACAACAAAGAACTTGAATCAAATATTGCTGGAGAAGAGAGAACTCTAACTAAGATTAGAGAAAGTTTGGCTAAGCATGAAGAAGAGAGAAATAATCTCGAAGGAGAGGTAGCAATTCTCAGAAACCAGCTTTCAGCATTCGCCACTGAGCTTTCAAACAAGAGAATCCATGTTGCTAACATGAACCAAATTCTTGAGGAAAAAATGCAAAGACTAGAGGCAGCCAAAAAGAAATATCAAGCTACTAAGGAGAGGCTTAGCAAAGAAAAGGAAATGCAAGATAACTTGGAAGCAGGAAACAAATCTTCAGAGGGTGACTTCAAGGAATCCCAGAACATGCTAACTGAGGTAGAAAAAGAAATCAGACTGCAAAAAGAAACTCTTTTCAAGGAGTCTCAGAAGCTTTTCAAGCTAAGAGCTGAGCAAGCTAACTTGATTGGAGATATCTCAGGTACTCTTTCAGCAAGCAGAAACCTCTAAGCAAATATAATCAAGCTAAAGCAAGAACAGTAGAGATAGCAAGAACTTCTCTATAACGCTGAGTTCTAGATTCAATAAATGGAGCGTAAGGTTGCCAGAGCCTCTGGAGAGCGATCTCAAGAAGAGACCAAGAGACTCTAACAAGAAATCCTTTTGGTTTAACAAGAACTAGATAAGAAGAAGCAGTAATTGAATATGCTTACTACTTCAAATAAACAACTCGAAGACGAGAGAAGAAACATCGAGAGAACCATTAACAAGGCCAAGGACCAAAAGAGCACACTTGCAATCACAATTCAAGAACTTAAACTTGAAAACGAGATGGCAAGCGGAGATGTAGAGAAGATCTTGAAAAAGAAGGAAAAGACATTGGTTCAGCATGACTGCATGAAGCTTGAAATCAAGAAACTGAGAGAAACCGTTAATGTCGAAGCTGATAGAGTCTATGGTCTTGAGAACAGAAAGTATCAACTAGAAATGAGTATGGAGGAAAGAGAGAAGGAGATCTAGGTCCACAAAGATATCCTAGTTTCAGAATAAAAGGCTGCTGAAGAAGAGAGGCACAAAGTAGCAGTAGAACTTCAACTTAGAAAGAATAAAGTCAAGAACCTTAGAATTAAATACGAGGGTCTCGTCCAGAAGAGTCAATCTTCAAGTGGTGAGGTTGAAGCAGTTGGTGAGCACTCACAAGCTTACTATGTCATCAAGGCTGCTTAGGAAAAGGAAGAACTTCAAAGATATGGAGATGAACTAGATGGCAAGATTAGAAAGTGCGAGAAGGAGATTAAGGCACTCGCAAACACTCTGGATCATCTTAAAATGAGAAATAAAAACTATAGAGATAAATTCATGCAAGGAGCAGAGGGAGCAGATCTGGAAAAGAAGTAAATTCTGGAAGATCAATGCAGAGCTGCTTCTGAGACGTTGTTCAAAAAGAGAAGGGAACTACAGAAACTCTAAAAGGACTACGATGATGATGCCAGAAGACTCATGGAGGTAAAGACTAAGCAATAGCAGTTGGCTAAATAGGCTGAAGAGCTGACCAACATCAAGGATAAACTCGACAAGGATCTGCAAGAGCAATACGATAAGATCGAGAGAGCTTAGAAGTCATTCCAAGCCAAATATAACAATGTCAGAAGCGTCAAGGGAGATGCCTTTTAGGAGACGAAAGAGAACTATGAAATCCTAAATGAAATCGAGTCATAAAAGAACAAGCATCTGCTCACTGCTCTACAGTAAGAATAGAATTTATAATTATATTTAACCATAGGTTGATATTGCAAGAGTTTCCAGACTTCAGCTAGGTCATTGAGGGCCCACTAGCAGAGAATGGCATTAAGGTACCATCTAGACCAGTATCCGGCATTGAAAGACCATCAACAGGCGCATCATAAAGAAGTAGAAGATGAATATGAGAAGGTTGCTTTGGTTACTGCCAATAATAATGATTAACTATTAATAATGATTTCGATTTAACATCTAAGTTAAAATAGTTTAAATGTTAATTTAGGGGTTTTGGGGTTTTGGGGTTTTGGGG